AAATTCCACATATTTCGTAAATGAAAACTATAATAAGCATTTTACAAAATATTATATATCGAATGTATATATATATACATTATATATTATATATGTACAACATATGTTAAACGCACGTCTTTGAGTCATCAGCTAGGCTTAATCAGCTATAATTAACTATAATCTGGCTTTAACGTGGGGGAAGTTGCTGTTAGTAACGAAACTGAGTCGCTGTCGCATAAATACATTTTTCGCGAATGTAAATAAGTTTATAAATGTTATAACCGATTGAAAAAGAGAGCAGAATTATTGTGAGCAGAAGTAGAATGTGATACATGTGTTTAATTGTCATCGAATATTTGTGATTAATGATATAATCTTACAAATTAAAAAAGATAACGACTTTTATTTATCTTGTTTTGATAGTGTTCAATACTGTGAAGATTACATCATGATTGCACTTTGACAAAGCAAAATTGTTAAGTATTACTTAAATCGCGATATTTTTATTTCATAGTAACATCTTACGTTGCATATATTGTGTAATGAATTCCTACATCTAGTACTGTAGATATTGATGCGACTGCATATTACAGCGAATTAAAGAAGTATAACAGTGTCAATTGGAAATGGAAAAAAATTGTACGGAAAAACTGTTTATGTACAATGGAAACATAAATCACAACGAATTTCATGAAGATTTAAATAGCAATGAACTACAAGAAGTACCATCAAGCACTCTTGTCTTTTATGTGAATGGAAAGGAGGTACGATCTATTAATATTATAAATTTATTCTTGATTTAGATACATTTTTAGCGAAAATTTTTCTTAAAATTCTTCATATAATTCTTCATATAATTTTTCAAAATTTCTACATAAATTAAAAATTAATAAATTATAAATTTATTTTTCAAACCAACACAGAATAAAGTATATAAATAATTCTAATTTATTCTATGTAAACAATAGATATAGAGTAAAAAATAATAACATATGTTAGACAAAATATATATATGTTATTTCAACCTTCGGATCTTCCTCAGTATATTTCAATTATTTTCTTTACACACAAAATGTAAACACTATCATTTTACAAGTATTACTATCATATAGTTAAATTATTAGCGATCAAAAAATAGGAGTGTTGTTATTGCACATATCTCCTCAAATATATTTCCAAAAAATAGATTAACATTAAATTGGCAAAGTTAATATGTAAAAGTTGTCTGGAATATATTTGAGATACTGTTAAAAACTAAAAATCTAATTCATTAGGTTAGATTAATTGTAATTATTTGTAATTGTAATTATTTACAGCAGGGTCTTTTTCCGAATTTTAATGTTTTCTTCTTGCAATATTGATAAAAATTTTTTTGCGATTTTAACATAATAATAATTAGCCAGGGAAATAAAAAATGTGTGATCTATACTTATTTTTTGTGATTATATATAATTTATTATAATTTATTTCCAATATGATTATTCGGATCTTCCAACATTACAAATATATGACTCTTAAAAAGACCGATTTCAAAGTAGAGCCTGTATTAGATTTATCTGTTAAATCTTTGTCTTAAATAGATAAGTTTACAATATACTAAAAATAATGGTAACTAAAAAGATTAGAACATAATCAATAGGAAATAATAAATGTCTTTAATCTTTAGTACTTGTATAATTTTGTGTGAATTTATATATACATATATATATGTATACTACGTATGTAGTCCTTTAAATTAAACTGCGCATCAAAATGATTTTTCGGTCTTGAAATGCAAACTCTACTAAACTATTTTATTTATTATACGTACACATTATATTATATACAGTATCTCTGATTTAGGTATTAGATAAAAATATAGAGCCACAATGGACACTTCTATGGTATCTCCGAAACAAACGTATCCTTTTTCATAAATTTATTAAATTAATATATTAAAAATATCATATTAAAAATATTATTATTAACCAGATAGCAATTTATTCATCCTTATTGTAATGATTCAGTTGGATTGACTGGTACAAAACTTGGTTGTGCAGAAGGCGGATGTGGAGCTTGCACAGTTATGATTTCAAAATTTGATCGTGTCACTGGAAAAATTATGTATCCTTTTTATGCATCCTAAATAACAGAATGACGTCGAAAGACGTAATGACATCTGTTTTGGTCTAATAGATGAATCACTATGTTGTCTTCACTCTGCTACTTTAAGAATAGTGAATACATTTTACAAAATAATCTGATCAATTCTTAATGATCTGAAAAATTTATTTCCTTAACATCGTACGAAATCGAAATCAGTCATTTAGCTGTTAACGCATGTTTAACACCGATATGCGCTGTACATGGTTTAGCTGTAACCACTGTGGAAGGTATAGGTAGCACAAAAACTAAATTACATCCAGTACAAGAACGTATTGCCATGGCACACGGATCGCAATGTGGATTTTGCACACCTGGTATAGTCATGTCTATGTATGCTTTGTTGCGCAGCATACCAAAACCGACCATAAAAAATTTAGAAACTGCATTTCAAGGTAATGCATTTAGAGCATTGCGTGTGTATATATCTATGTAACAACTTTATATAGATAAAATTGATTTGTATAAATAAACATACATAGTGCAGCAACTAACATATAAACACATAATACTTAATAAAATAATTGTGTAAACAATAATAATAATTAATTGATTACATATTTTATAGGTAATCTATGCAGATGTACAGGGTATAGACCGATTATAGAAGGGTTCAAGACCTTTACAGAGGAATGGGAACGATCGCAATTGATGACTAACGTACGAGAAGAAGAGACAAATAACATAGGAGTTTGTTCAATGGGCGATTCTTGTTGTAAAAAGGTTTTCACATCTAAACCAACTGAAATTTTCAATTCTAAAGAATTCTGCCCGTACGACTCTACTCAAGAACCGATATTTCCACCAAAATTAAAAGTAAGTTATTATTGTTGAAAAGATTTAAAGTAAAATGGTACAAGCTACAGAATAAAAATGATATCAATAAAACCATGCAATTACTAATGAATTCTCAAAATAAAGGTCGGCAAAGTTATTTTATGAGTTATCTAAAAGTTACTTTTTAAGTTATCTTACATGTGTTTGTTATAGAATTTGAGTATAAAATAGTACAAAATTAAATAAGTAGTACGAAATAAATAGTAAATCATAATATAAAAAAAATAAAATACACAAACTTATTATACTCAATTTTTTATATAGATGGACTCTAAGCTAGATGAGCAATATCTGATAGTGAAAGGAAGAGATATCACTTGGTACAGACCAATGAATTTAAAGACACTGCTTGCGCTTAAAGAACAATATCCGAATGCTAAAATTATCATTGGTAACACGGAAATCGGTTCGTATATTTCGCTTTCAAATACATATTACGATATCAAGATATAAAAAATTATATTATTACATAGGGGTTGAAATGAAATTCAGACGTTTAATATACCCGATACTTATACAACCAACGCAAATAAAAGAAATGTGTAAAGTTATTGAAACACCAGAGGCATTGAGAATAGGTGCGAGCGTAACTTTGGTTGAACTTGAGGAAACTCTAAGACATTATGTTAAAATAAAACCTGGTAATATTAGAATTATATCTATTGTAATATTATAATTATAAA